GTGAAGATCGCAATTTGCAAGATCTTTGGGGATGAATTGGCAAAATTTACGCCTTCAGAAGATCTTGCTGACATTTGGATTGAAAGTACTACGTTTTAGATATTTGCCAACTACTTAGAAAATAGTTGAAAATCTAAAAAACAGCAAGCGCACACATTATGTTTTTCCAGTATGTAATGGATGGATCAGTATGCAGTGAAGCTTGTCCGGAAATCAGTTGCAATGAGTGTAAGTGTTGCAATGCGTGGAGAATAAGGATATACTATCAAAGTTGTTAGCAGCATTTTTGTATTAAAAATTACCCAGCAATGCATCTTGAAAATGGCTGGCTACATTTTTGGCTAAAAATCCATATCTTGGTACTGTAAAATGGGGTTACTTTGACTCCTGGGGTAACTTTGACCACTTTTCTTGTTTTTAACAAAAACTCCCAAAACTAAAAAACTTTTTGACATACCGTCAACCGGGGCTACTCGGGACGGGCAGGGCTACTCGGGACAGTCCTCCGACACGGCGTAAAACTCTTATAGTAGCAAAACTAATTGGAATATTGCAAAACTAAATATAGTGGCGTAAATGTCAACATTTTTCCTATCTATGTAGTATAAAGGAAGTTGAAAAATACTACATTTACTAGCTTTGAAAAATTCCTGAAAAAATGGTGAAAAATGCTATTTTGAAAAGTTACTTCTGCTAAGGTCTGCAGCCAAAAAAATATTCGCCGTATTAAAAAATTTTACTTACATAAAAGATGCACCCAGGTGTCAGCTTAAAAACGTAATTGACGGAATTGTCCTATCTCATTCCAAAAAAAATGGCAGCCATTTCCGCACTGTGGGGCTACTCGGGATACCCCCCCAGGGCTATTCGGGACACCCCCAAAAACACATTTACAGTAGAACCTCAGTAAGCAAAGGCTCCAGTTAAGAAAAAAATGGATTAAAAACAAAGAATATTGATTACATTTACCTCGCTTGGCGAAAAAAATTTCACTTATCAAAAAATTGGTGCATCATCAGTCGTCACAGAATTGTACATAGAATGCTATATATATAATTGTGCACCAGGCATCATAGAATGAAAAGTAATTGACCTAAACTATGATTTATTTCTCCAAAATATATGATGGTTGTCACTAAAACATAACTTCCTGTTTCAGGTATGTTTTTCACGATCTTTTTTTTATAGTAAATTCACTTAACCCAATTAAAATGGCGCATAAACAAGCGCATGGCGCATAAACAAGCATTATTGTGCTTGCCATGTCCGTCTGTCTGCCTGTCCGTCCATCTGCCCATTCGTCTGTGACCGCAAGCTTTCGTTTACGAGAAAATGCGCTCTCTGTCACTGACTTTATAGTAAATTCACTCAACCCAATTAAAATGGTGTGAAATTACAAGCTGTCCTGTGAGCTTACAGATACAGAAAAAATGCTATAAGGCTGCTGATATGAAGCTTGCAGTGGACAAGGTTGTTGTAAATGCTCAATGGCATGTTCATGGATATGGTAATATCACATCAATAATACAGTAATATCACATCAATAATACATTACCCTGGCCAAAGCGATTCAGCTGCCTCCATAATGATGGCCAAAGCGGGGTCATAAAGGATGGCCAAAGTCACTCAGGCATTTATGACCTTGTTTACGACCGTGGAGTTTATGACCCCGGTGTTTAGGACCCCCTTTTTGTTTGCAAAACAAAATAAAAAACGCTGCCTAAGTCACCCCAGTTGACAGTAATTAATGTTTATATTAATATCATCAATAAAGGAAAAACAAGTAAATAACACTGAAAATGTCATTTATTCTACCTCTACATCATCTACAATGAAAGAGGAGGACTTCAGAGTACTGTTAGTAATGGCCTAATAAAGGCCTAAAAAAGAAGAAGAAAGGAAGAATGCCTAATAAAGGCCTAATACTGAGGCTACATAACACAATAGAAAGATTTAAAAAGTTTGCATATCTAATAGGTTAAAAAATTAAAAATGTGACCCACAAAACAAGAGCTATTATTTAAAGCCTGTCAAAGAACCCCCTCCAATTTTTTTATTTTTTGATAAAATAACTCCAGGTTTTCATGCATTGTAGTAGAACTCTTCTAGTTACATATGCAAATGACAAATTTTAGGAGTGTCATAGTTTACAAATGGGGGGTGCCACCCCCCGATGAGGGAACTTTGACCACTTAATGGCAGCCATGACGGGGCAACACTGACCGGCTTGGAAATTAAGTTAAATTACCATAGGTACCTATATAATATATTTTAGGTTTGATACACCTATTAATGTTTTCTTCTATATGTTTCAGACTCTACACAGAGTCTTATATATGGTAATTTTAACTTAATTTCCAAGCTGGTCATTGTTACCCTGTCACAGCTGCCACTAGGTGGTCACATTTCGCCCATTGGGGTGCGGTGCCCCTAATTTGCAAACTATGACACTTTCCTAAAATTTGTCATTTGCATATGTAACTAGAAGAGTTCTACTACAATGCACCAAAACCTGGAGTTATTTGGAGTTATTTTACCAAAAAATAAAATTGATTTTACCACCCAGTCAAAGAAACCCCAAGAGCTGGGGTAACAAAGACCATTACTTTTTTTGAAATTACATCAAAACTATGACAGGCAGGAGCCAGCAATTTGTGGTTATTGAAGCTAGAGTATAGACCTGTATTTTGCATGTTTCAATTTAAGTTTAACTTATCTAGTAAAAAAATGACATAATTTTGAAGAAAAGTGGTCAAAGTTACCCCATTTTACGGTAACACAGCTTGCAAAATCTGCACCCTGGCAGTTTAGCACCCATAGCAGAAAATTAGACAGAAGCTTAGACAGCAAAGTAGGATGGAATTCTATAAATGGTAGTTCATATATTACTTTTGATCCATGTAGGCCAGTGTTTTTTTATTCAAAAACTTAAGTTTGAAAAATTGAAAGGCTGTGTTTAATAATTCGAGAAAAAGTCATACTCCCTCCTTCAAGGCCATATGATGTAATCACTTGAAATTTTATACAGACATTCAAAAAATTTAATTAAACTGATATGATTTATTAGTCTATCAACATTAATTGAAGACAATGAACTAAACTTAAATAGATTAATAACATCTTATGCTAAAAAGCAAAGTTTACTGCTCAACATGGCGCACTGCAGAGACCATTTGGGGGAGCAAAGTGATATATGTACTGTAATGTACAGACATAACAAAAGCATATGGTACATCACACTGATTGGTCCAGACTTATGTTAGTGCTGGTGCTTAATTGCATTTCAGTTGGCAGTTGCCAAGTGAGTGAGGACTACTAATTTTTATGCGGATGTGGGAATTTCTTTTATATTGAAAACATTCTGTAATTAATATTAAAAACAATAATGTCTTTTCTTACAAATCTTATAACAATCTCTGAATCTCATTCTTGTAGCTAAATATTTGAAATTAGCTATACCATCAACCGGGGTTACTCGGGACAGGTGGGGTAACTCAGGACAGTCCTCCGACACGGCATAAAACTTTTAGTAGCAAAACTAATTGGAAACTAAATATAGTGGCGTAAACATCAACATTTTTCCTATCTATGTAGTATAAAGGAAGTTCAAAAATACTACATTCACTTGCTTTGAAAAATTCCTGAAAAAACTGGTGAAAAACAATATTTTGTTGAGTTACTTCTGCTAAGGTCTGTAGTAAAAAAAAATATTCACCGTATTAAAAAATTTTTATACGTAAAAGTTGCACCCAGGTGTCGACTTGAAAACGTAATTGACAGATTTTGCCTATCTCATTCCAAAAAAAAATGACGGTCATTTCTGCACAGCGGGGCTACTCAGGACACCCCTCGGGGCTATTCGGGACACCCCCAAAGGCGCATTTACAGTGGAACCTCAGTTAGCACAGGCTCCAGTTAAGGAAAAAATTGATTAAAAACAAAGAGTATTGATTACATTTACCTCGCTGAGCAAAAAAAAAGTTCACTTATCGAAAAATTAGTGCATCATTGGTCATCACAAAAGTGTGCATAGAATGTCATATTTAGAATTGTGCACCAGGCATCATAGAATGAAAAGTAATTGACCTAAACTATGATTTATTTCTCCAAAACATATGATGGTTGTCACTAAAACATTCCTTTCTGTTTCAGGTATGTTTTTCACTATCTTTTTAGCGCAAATTATCATTTATGGAAAAGATGCACTATTATTCTCAATGTCCGTCTGTCTGTCTGTCCGTCCGTCTGTGACCTCAAGTTTTTGTCAACGAGAAAATGCGCTCTGTCACTCACTGCAGTGAGTACTGAGTTATATTTTTTTATAGTAAATTCACTTAACCCAATTAAAATGGTGTGAAATTACAAGTCGTCCTGTAAGCTAACAGATACAGAAAAAATGCTATAAGGCTGCTGATATGAAGCTTGCAGTGGACAAGGTTGTTGTAAATGCTCAATGGCATGTTCATGGATACTGTAATATCGCATCAATAATACGGTAAAAAATGTCTATGGTAATATCATATCAACAAAGGAAAAACAAGTAAAAATCACAGAAAATTTCATTTATTCTACCTCTACATCATCTACAATGAAAGAGGAGGACTTATGAGTGCTGTTAGTAATGGATGAGTACACTCTGCATGCTTCAAATGTTTTAAAATGAAGTTTTATTCCAAGTGTCCCGAGTAGCCCCGTCGAACGGGGCTACACTCTTTTTTTTTTTTTTTTGCTTCTGGCACCTTACGAATAGCGTATGGAATTTTTTTGGAGAAGCCATGTGATAGCCCTTGCAAAGAGCTTTGAAATGAGCCTTAACTTGTTTATGAAATGTTTCATGGTAAGAAGTTATGAATGAAAAACGTTTGAAATCATCCCGATTGGCCCGGTTGACAGTATGTAATATTGTTAATATTACATAATATCATATATTTATGTATTAATAGTAATTTTGATAGGTACATTTTATTTCATTTGTCAACAAATGTCAACAATCCACTAATATGCTAATTTATTTTGTAGGTGAAACAGATGAGGCCCAGCGACTGAGATTTCAAGTTGAGCTTGAATTCGTGCAGTGTTTAGCAAACCCCAGCTATCTTCATTGTGAGTTGAATTGTATTGCACTGCGGGAACTTGGTGAATTGTGACCTTTTACTGTAAATTAAATGACATTCTAGACATAAGCTCATGTTAATAAACTTGTGCCCAAAATTTAATATGAATTTAGTAGCTTGTAAGCAACTAATAGTCATGGAACATTTTCCAGTAAGTTTAGGGGTTTCAGAAAAAATGTTCACTATTGTTTGAAGTAAAACATTAACTAGATTAAAGAATTGCATTTCTCAGCAATATTGATCATATTATTTTGGTAAAAAGTGCCTCTTGTCAGATCAAAATGAGTTAAAACATATAAATAACTGAGAAATTTGGCTTACTTGTCATCATTTTTACAAATATTGTTTCCAGCTTCAAAGCAAAGATGAGTTTTTATTTTTATTTAATTTTTTTTGTACTTGTTTCTGTGTGAGTGGAAAGAAATTTGCCATGGAGAAATTGTTGCAATTTTTAATGAATAGAAAGGTTTTGAAACTTTTATCAAGTAGATTTATGATAAAATATTTAAAATATTACAGTTTTGGCACAACGTAATTTCTTCAAGGATCAAGCATTTGTCAACTACCTGAAGCATCTCCTCTACTGGAAAGAACCTGAGTATGCCAAGCATCTCAAGTGAGTAGCTCAGCTGCTACAATATATTTGCAAATTTATTGTTACAGTCATGTTCTCCTAAGTGTGCTGAACTTATTAAATATTTATAGGTTTCAAGATAGAAAGAATGGCATTAAGATATGTGTGTCTAAATGTGCTAGATGCATGGTCAATAAAAGTGTTTCTCCATATAAAACTTATGAACAATTTTTTTGTATTTACAGGTATCCCATGTGCCTGTACTTCTTAGACTTGCTTCAGCATGAAAGTTTCCGCAAGGAGATTGTAAATGGGCAGTGTGCCAAGTACATAGATGACCAGATGATCCTGCATTGGCAGCACTACACACGCAAGCGCATGAAGATCCTTGAAACAGGTAAAAAATTGCTACATTAAATGTATCTTCCAGAATTTTCTCAGTTAACATCAACTATTCTTTGGTTTCATTGTTTTTGTTATACTTAACACCATCCTCCAGCTACCAGTTCTGCTTACTGAAAATTTTCTATAAATATACTTATGGATTATTCCTATTTTATTGAACAACTAAACTTCTAAGTAACTCCTGTTTCTATCTGACAATTACTTCCACTAAATCGAAATACTTAAAAAACTATTTATTTGTCAAATATATTTTTTGGTTGCACATCAAATGGGTTGATGTGCATTTTACCACGTTTTTCTTAGCTCGCTTTCGTGTCCCTCTGTCTGTGATGATCAAATCTTGCAATCGATATTTCACCAACTTTCCCGCTAGCTAGCACATTTATACAGTCATGATACTATGACTATATATATATAAATATATATATAAAACTAACTCCACATGAAAAACGTGGTCTTTAAAAATTTTTTTTATACATTTTATACAAAAGACCAAGAAATACTATTTATATTTATTCACTGAAATACAAAAGACCAAGAGAATGAAAGCAAACAGAGATCAGTAGCTGCCAAAAAATTATTTTGGTTGTTGAGCAGGTAGCCAGAATACGTCAGGCAACGTAGCTGTGTTGTGTGGGGGAGGTGGCTCAGTCTTGGGGTCACCTGCGCACCAGCTGCACAGCACGCCACCTGCTGGTAAGTAATCTGCCTCTATTTAACTCGTAATGCAAAAAAGTTTTTGTACACAATATTGTTTTAAATTTTTGATGTTTACAGATTTACCATAGGTAGAGAAAATTTTCTTCTCTCTATAATTAACAAATAATCATGCAAGATCATTTTTAAAATTAATTGAATTGCCTTCTGATTGATGATGCCAGTGTGAAACCCAATCAACCTTTATGATTCAGTTCAAACCAGCCCATGCATACAAAAGGTAATCTTTGGTAACATTTTTTTCAAAGTTACCTAGATATTTTTGGTTAACCTAATTTTTCACAGTATAACCTTCAGCCATATTTGGAGTAAGAGCAGGTTCATATTATGTTATATCTGGCAGAAACAGTAATTTCGGTATTCATACAATTTTTGTCAAATCATAAACACATCATTCTGTTCATGAGGTTGAAATAATAACAATTTTGATAAAAACCATGATCACTGGACATAAATACAATTTATAGATAGAAATGTCTATTAATGAAATTATTATCTTGCTCACGCTGAGGATAAAATTCTGTCAAAGTTCATTCATTTCAATAACAGTTCAACCTTAATCGATGGTTATTGCTAGGCGTGAAAAACATGTACTAATATCAAGACTGTGTACGTACTCAACCTATGCCTCCTATCCTAACTGGTAAAAAAACACATTATGCCTTTAAAGATGTTTAATATCCCATCAAGAAATCTGTACATGTTTCATATGCATCTCCAGAAGTAAACTTTGCTCATGAATGCTGGTAACTTTTCAAACAAATTCTTTTTATCTTTTGCATTTATGTATAATTTTCGCACTCTCATGCTTCTCATTTTGGCAGGTAATCGCAGTCCAGCTGCGACAAGCACCACACTGCCACTCAATGCCGGCAGCCACACAACTCTTGCCGCTGCCGCTCCCGTCAGCAGCTCCACTCCTGCCTCTTCTGCAGCGCTTTCTAACCCGACCTTGAATATTGGGCTTTCAAATCCGAACTTGAACATTAACCAATCGGTGATGGCCGGCCCTATCCTCAACTCTGCTCCTGTGCCGATGAGTTCTATAAGCAGTAATATCATGACGTCTTCTACTGTAGGGAGCATATCTAACGCAGGTGTTATGGGCTCACCTCGAGTGTCGTCACCTGGAAATATTTCTCCTGCAAGTGCACTTAACGGTCATTCGCAGAAAATGTTGTGATCTCCATGCTTCTCAAAGCAATATCTGAAAACATGCAGTGTAGGGGTCAAATGAATTGTATTGAAATGTCCCTGATATCAATGATTCTGTGGTGATCATAAATCTAATGCTTTTGTATTTTGCAAGCATGAAGAATATGTGTACTGTTTTGCAGTGTACGAAACAGCTCATCTCTCGTTGGATTGAAGTTAGTGACGCGTTTAGTTTGGAACTTTGCTCATGAAAAGTGAAGAGAGCCTGAGAAAATTGTAGCATAGCTTTGAAACATTATAAAACTTTGCAGAAACTCATGAAAGTGGAGGACTGTTCTATTCTGTGAACCGTGTACCTGGCCAAAGCGTTGGTCGATTCGGAATAAGCGCCCGTGAGTGTCGTGTCTCTTTGAGTGCTAAGCGAACTATCCCGATTCCTTTTACCTACTCCCGACGTAGTGGGCTAGAGCGTGACTCACGCGTGCGTGTGGTGCTTTCATTTCGCTTGCCTTTCCCTCATCAACGTTGTTAACTTTTTACGGGTTTCATTTCTTTTCAAATGGTTCACCAGCAAATTGTATGCACATATTTGGACGAGTGTAAACTTGGCAGTGTCTACTTCCTCGCCACGCTTGTCTCATCCTCCCTTTCCAACTTATTTTTTTCCCAATTTGTAAATGCTTGTTTTTTTTATTCCCTATTTAATTCGAAGTTGACGTCTTATATAATGAATCATCTTCAGTTTATTTAAATCGGAAATTTGTAATAAAGTTCTCTTTTTCAGTAATAAGTGAGTTGTGAACTTCTGAAAAGCAGCTGGGAACTATCTTAGGGTATAGCTTTGGTGTGCATCATTAGTAAACTTAAGTGTAAAGAAACTTGCATTCTGAAATGTCGGATCCTGTAGTGCTAAGTTTCCACGATAGCCTGCTGCACGAGTCAGACCTGCGTCTGCTCAAAGGGCGGCACTGGCTCAACGACGCCCTGATCTCTTTCTGGCTGGAGTATCTGCAGCACACAATCTTTCCTGACCAAACGCGCGTGCTCTGCGTCGGGCCAGAGGTCACCCAACTCCTCAAGATGTGCGACCCTGCAGAAGTTGCTGTCGTATTGGATCCACTAGAAGCTAACCACAAAGACTTCATCCTCCTCCCTGTCAATGATAACAACTCAGCCATCGCCTCTGGTGGCAGTCATTGGAGCTTGCTTGTTTTCAGTAGGTTTGACTTCAAGTGGTATCACTACGACTCGATGAGAGGCTCCAACTACCAGCACGCCAGGAGTCTTGTTCAACGGATAAACAGGTGATTGCTTCTATTACTCGCTTGTGCGAATAAGTTCGTAAACTGAAAATCTCCTCTATCGTAGGTTTATATATGTACCTATGTCTATTGTCTATTTGCAATAGGTGACAGTGAAGCTCTGATTTTGTATTAAAAGAGATAACAAATTAAATTTTTTTTTGTAAATCTACTGCTAGAGAATGGAATGGAACGTTCTTTAATTATTTTCAGTGTCTGGTTTCTAAAGAAAATTTGCATGGTTAATTAGCCCGGACCAAAATTAGCTCTTCTTATATGTATAGTGGAATGAAAATCATGGTCGAATGTAGGGCTCTTATTAACTATTGCAAAACTTAATATTATTACGAAACACAAACCCTGACATTTCGCAAATGATCTACAATGTGATGAAGTTTGTTGCAGGCTTACCTAAAATACTCTTCAGATAACATAACTTAATCTAGCCAACTGCACTGCTTTGGTTCTGAATTGATGGCCTGCCTTTTAATAGCATAAAACGAATCTGGAATGGCCTCAACTTCACAGGGAGCATGAAGAAACTAATCAACACCACTACCAGAAATTGATACCTCGTACGCATCTCGCGTGCCCAAAAAGTTGTTCGTAACTGATAACCTCCTTCAGATACCTGGAGCGGGACGCGGTTCTTGTGGACGCGACGTGCACCCAGCAGGACAACAGCTACGACTGCGGCGCTTTCGTCCTCCTCAACGCCGAGCACGCGGCGTCCGCTGCCACAACGGGCGCCCCTCTGGGCACCAACTGCGTGCCTCGGCACCGCGCCGCTGAGATCAGGCAGACTCTTGCTGACGTTATCGACGCGCTACGTCATCAGTCTTCATAAGACTTGAATACTTTTTTTGGTAATAAATTCCTGCTTTGATTTGCTCATAAAAGAGCAGTATACACAGAGGACTTGTCACACCGGGCAAAGCAGGGTTTGTACAGTATAGAGTTTACAGATTTTAGCAGGAAAAACTGGCGAGCGTTCCTATGTGTTCTTTCTCGTAATTTGTGCTTGAGGATTGAAAGCTGTACACGTCAAGGAACTAATTAAGATGTCTTTGTAATGGGCATTTTATTTAAGCGAATAATTATCGCATGACAGGCGTGAAGTAGTGATTAAGATTTGAGATTAAGCGCTCGCGTACGTGTCGCGCTCGCTGATAAGAATGTCGGTTTTTCATGGTGGCAGATGAGCTGTGGGTTAATCGCACGTGGATTTAGCTACACATTTAGCTAGAAATAGAAACACTTGTGTTCTAGCTTTAGTTATGTTGCAGCAGGGATCCTACTATGTTATTGACATCGCTGACTACGAAGGTAGATGTCTTATCAATAGTAACATTTATGACCTTTATAAGGTTTCCAAAGGCAAATTTGTATAACAAAGTAAGCAATTCGATATTAATCAAAATTTATTGACTTATGTTAACAGCGCAGTCTCGGGAATACTTGCAGACTGAATTGGTTTACTTTTTACTCGTCACAGATCTGTACTTCGTGTAATTTATAAACCATGTTACACAAAGATTTGCGATAGTAAATGACGCAAAAGATCTTAAGTAAATATTGAAATACCTATCAAGGACGAAAAGTGTAAATATCATGTGAAAAGTTTGCTGAAGCTAACTCAGCGTAACATTGCACAAGGACCAAGTAATCACAGCGCGCTTGAAACACGTGTTCAATCTTTCTATACGATTATTTCTCAATGCCGCGTACGAGTTTTTTTTGCCCTCCTGGCCTCCATTTTTAGAAGGCAGCGTCTGCGATTAGGTACCAGACAGAAGATTCTTACAATGCCCACCTCAACATCGATCAACTATTTTTCATTGTTGAAAATTTTTATATCAAATGTACCTCATGTTGACAGCCAACAAGTAACCACAAGATCGAGCCACTTTCACATCGCACGTGCATTGTACTGCACTGAATTTCCAGACGGTGAATACCATCCATGCACGATTAATTATTTTTAAAATTAAAATTTACAACTGACTTCCTCACTGAATTATATAAACCTCAATGACATGAAAAGAATAGCTCTTTGAGGCCTAATCTTACACTGCTGCAAAATAAAATTTCAACATGAATGAGGATATCCAAGTAATTGAAATATTTCATACGTAATCACTTCAATGTCATTAAAATAAAAATGATGACGAAAGCGAGGTTAGCCTTGCCCGACTTCAATTTTATATTCCAAGAAGACCATGCTATCGTATTCGTTGATTACGAACTTCAACTTTTTAACAACAGAAGCTATATCGCTCTTGGTAAGGGCGCAATGAGTCATGCACCGCACCACCGTGTCTGTGATGGGCAGCATCATCACGACCGTCTGCTCGTCCAGCTCCTCAGCCTCCTCGTCGCTAACCTGCAACACAAACACATCTTCTAATACCCCTCACAACTTTCTGTAAAGTCAGAATACGCTATACGATACACCAAGTTGCATGATATAAAACAAATGCGTAAAATGTTGAGTATTTTGCAGCAAAATTGCCGCCTACCATGAACATATTTACATACATTTTGCCGGTGAGCGATTTTTCCACGTTTGAACTTTACTTTCATCTAAATTTCCAATGCTAAGTTTGTCGATTATGAACAAATATTTGATCAGTTACGATATTTTTTCCATATAGTTTAAACATGCAGCTCCTAAAACAATTGCCTTCATCAGGCAACAAATAAAATTGTGGATATGATTTAGATATGACGGACGTAGCTCCAAATTAAATAATCATTCCAAATGTTGCATCATTATATGGATTTTTCAATCGAAGTTGAATCATATTACTGACCATAGCCAGTCTGTCGCAGAGCTTCTTAGCATTAACGCGAATGTTGTCGGTGGTGAGCAGCACCATGTTGGTCTGAACCTCCTTCAGATCAACCGTCACGGCGCTGCTGTGCATCTCCTTCACGCCTGCAATAGGGTATCTCCTTTGAATCTCTTATCGATATTAGAGGCATTTTTATCATGTCTTAACAGTCGCGAGTATCCTTGAATGAATAAATTTACTAATCATTCATATTACAATTAAATTCGACATATTGTCCTTTTCCGATAGTTGCAGCATTTTCTTTGCATTTAGTAAAATCTTACATCAAATGAGCAAGATTGGACTTAAGATATTTAAATTCAACCGCGTTACTTTAAAAAAAGCTCATATAAAAGAAACATGATAAGGTAATGCATATAAGAATACTAATTTTCTCTACAACATTTCACTAGTGGTCACGAAAATAGTTCCGGACGGCAATGGCAGCCGTGCAACTGTTAAAACCGTTTTTTTTAACCGGCTCACGCGAGCCGGTTTAAAAAAAAGTAGAATACTTAATTTTAGTACGAAAACAAAAAAAAATCAACAGCTAGCTCTTGAACGTAGATTTTAAGTTGCCAAAATGATGTAACACGTTAAAATTTATTCCGGGATAATCAAAGTTTCTAGTAACAGAATATTTTGGTTTTGAATGCATCACTTTAACGAATGAAGTCTCCATTTTAAAATCGGACCTCATCAAATAAAGGCTGAAATTGAGACTGAAAACAAAATGGATGAAGAAACAAATCAGTAACCGTTCATAAAAACTTTCTAATAACAAATAAGTCATTAAAGTGAAGAGAGTGCTTAAAAAGCCACAGTTACTGATCTTTAATGCACATAATTTCGCGGTCAAACTCACCCTGTGCAATGGCTCTGGCGTGTGTGTGGTCCCAAGCCAGTCTGGGGGCGACGTGCTCGAGAGCGTACAGTCCTGCAGCTGCGAACATCCCAGCCTGGTGCAGCCCTCCTCCCAATACCTTGCGTACTCTGATGGCTCTGTCATCAACACAACGTTTGTAGGCCTGACTTAGTCAATACACTTTAACTTTAATAATGATTTTCCATTAAACAATTCTTAGGTACTCTGTATTTCATACTGAACATAAAGATTGATGATTTCATTTGAATCCTTGCGCGAATACTAAGCTTGGGTACCTTTCGATAAACTCCTTGCTGCCGACCACAAGCGATCCCATGGGAGCACCGAGGCCTTTATTAATGCAAAAGGCGACGCTCTGGCAGTGGCGCACTAGCCGGGAAGGAGGCTGGCCTACGGCGACCGCCGCGTTCAGCAGCCGCGCACCATCGCAGTGCAGCGGCAGCCCCAGCTCCTGACACACTGCGCCTATCTGCGCATAAATGTTGAGTGAACATACAAACGTGACAACTTTGCTTTGGGTCATGAGTCAAGACCAAGGAACGATCACAATACGGCAATTTGGCCTGGTTTTCAATACAACAATGCTCAGAACCAGGTACACATTGGAAAACATGTGTGCTTTTGCGCAAGTATTTTAAAGTTTAATTGCAAGATGTCTAATGACGAAGCACTACTAAAAAATACCTCCATAATTCAACTTATTTGTCGAGCATGTATGCAGGTCTCTGCGAAAGTTATTTCTGGTGCTGATGTTTACAGTAACTTTGTAATTCTTAAGCAATGCATTGAAATTATTATGAAGTAAGCTGTGGTCTAGCAATTAAATGACAAATTATTTACTTAATTAAAGCATGTATATTTCAAAGTCATAACATGCACATCAACTTCCAAGTGAGCAATGCTACTTTGGTGAAGACATTATCATGAGAACACTAGTACCTCATCAAGCCATCGCAGAGGCAAGGCTTTGCCCCCCAACATGTTCTGTGTGTTCTCTATGCAGACAAGAGACGTGACGGGCCAGTGAGGGTCGTCCCCGCGGACCAAAGCCTTCAGTTCCGTCAACGAGAAGCTGCCGTCAGGCAAGTTCTTAAGCGTCCGGTGGTGGATGTTGCCGATCTGTTGACAAATTACATTCAGTTAACAAACATTGACGCATTCAGTTAACATACACATGTAATAGATTCAAAGAAAACTATAAACGAATTCAACTGATACTTTTATATATAAAAACCAAGGATATTAGCGGAGGACATGAAGTAAAAATGCATGTGGATCATTTATAGTACTATCCATTGAGATGAAAATTGTTCCAGTTTATTTAGAAAACTCACTAAATCGATAATTTCTATTAAAATGAAAAGTGTCACAGTTTATTAAGAAAATTCACTAGATAAATAATGTTATGAATAGTACGATTTTACTATGTAACTTTTTCAATAGTCATTCAGAACACATCACAATGATGTGAAATAGAAAATGCAATCACTAGATATCTCCCTCACAGCAAAGTGACCATATTTTAATCACCATATCCTACTCAATAATTGTACATTTTTATTTTTTTTCATTTTTTCTCACTTTATTTATTAAAAAAATTAAGAAAAATGAGTTTAGAAACTATTTTATGTTAGACCTATGTACACTATTTGTTAATAAATCATTTTTAACTTCCGTGTCAATCTAACTTATGTGCTGTTGTTTTTCAAGATGGAATATGAATAGGTATAAAATTTGTAATTTGGGACAAATCTGCTTTTTAGCTACAAATGATTATTTATTCAAGCCTGAAACTCTTTCAGAATTTGCATCAGTGTTTGTTGTTTTGATGAAAATGGCAAACTAATGGCTCCATTTTCAATTCTGACGAATTAACGGCCATTCTCTTTTATGTTTAAGATAAACCTAATTTCGGAAAAGTGTTCTAACTATAATAAATACTTTAAAGTAAGATAACCATGTTGAGTATTCTCTGAAAATTATTGAAATACTCTATCATTCCCAAGTTTAAAAAAGACATAATATAGGAGCAAATCTTCCAATAGACATAATATAGGACCAAATCTTCCAATAGACATAATATAGGAGCGAATCTTCCAATAGACATAATATAGGAGCAAATCTTCCAATAGACATAATATAGGAGCGAATCTTCCAATAGACATAATATAGGAGCAAATCTTCCAATAGACATAATATAGGAGCGAATCAGCCTCCGCGTTACCTGGGCAATGCCTCCCTGAGCCCAGACGTGAAGGTGTGATTGGTCACCCAGGATCACCTCGGAGCCCCGCATCCAGCAGTGTGTTAGCACTGAAATTTTCAATTATTAATGGATAGAATGATTTTGTATTGAAGAATGCTCATCAACAAAATGTAAAATGGAGTAAATATTTACGTCCATTCATGCAACAAATGGCAGTCACGAAATCAGTTTGCCAAAATAAGACAATGTAAAAAGTTTCAACATATATACGTATTTATTTTTAAATACATCAAATATGGTCAATTTCTGCATTACCAAAAGACAAGAAGCCCTAAGTCAAACAAAATTAGGCACCACATTTACATACTTGACTACAGATGAACTGAAAACATTGATGCAAAGGAAATTCAAAATATGTCGGTGGTAAAAACCTTCCTTTGAACATTCCGATTATTCTTATTCTGATTAATAATTACACCATTCAAAGAGGAGGGGCAATAACACATCTGGGATAAAGGAGAAATGAGCATCATAAATGAGAAATTACCACAAATAAGGTTAGCCATGGTGCCTGATGGCACAAGAAGAGCAGACTCTTTGCCAAGCAGGGACGCGATTTTTTTCTCCAGCTCTGGAAGTGAATTAATTTTCAATTGTTTATGTGAATTGCTGATCGCGTAATTAGGTATAAACGAATCCAAAGGAGCATGAAGTCAGTTTCTTCTGAATATTAAGTGTATAGGAAAGTAATTTTTACAATGGTGAGAGCAAATTGAATATGAAATTATTCATTTCTAAAGGCCTAGCACATTGAAAAATGCCCAGAAAATGCAGATAATCCTTTAAATTTCACTAGCACATAATTACTGCTAGTATAGAACCGACAAAGAAAGGTTCACTTTTTATTGAAATACTCAAATATTTCAGTGTAAAAACATGGTAGTTTTTATCTCCAGCTTAAACAGGGATTTCATCTAAGCCTTGTGTCAAACAAAATAAGGCACTGAATTTACATACTTGACTGCAGATAAACTGAAAATATTGAAGCAAGGGAAATTCGAAATATGTCAGTGAAAATCTTTCTTTGACCAGCTAGATCATCTGAACAGCATATATAGATACTTACTACGAATCTCAACAACTCAAATTTGAACACTCGTTAGAAATCTGAAAATTTACAAAGTGTAAAAAATGAGGTGAAATTTAAAAATTTATCCATTCACACTTGTAGAGAATATAAGCTGAAGTAGATATATAAGAAAGGCTTCAGTGGCAATTAAAAAATTCACAATGGACATGTGGAATCAAATAATCATATTAATACTTTAAGAATTAATCTCACCATTATACACATCCATGGATAGAGCAATATATAATTTTAAAATCAGTTCATTCTTCACGTATGAAGACTTTCATTCCACATCCAATCTTTTGTACACACGAAATGCGTATCGGCGCGAGTGTATGCAGTCACGCAATTTCTGTACTGCAGGAGCTGAGCATTATTTAACATGAGACATGGTACAACATACTTGTACGCGTGGCACTTCATGATCGCACTTCAGTGAATAGGAATTAGGCTTAAGAAAGTAAATACTAGCCAGAACATGATCAAGAAGCACCTTTGACGGTGGGGTCCTCTCCAAAAACGTCATCACCCACAGGGGCCCTAAACATGGCTTCCTTCATCTTGATGCTGGGGTATGTGACGGTGTCACTTCGCAGGTCCACCGTGTGATGAGGAGCTCCTTCCAAAGGTCCCTGAAACACAGGCATCCCTATTAATCTACAGTTTGTGATCATTCTACTGAATTGAAATTTATTAAACTGTTGTGGCCGCAGCCCTGTTGCAGCTAGTTTCCTTTGTTGCATTTCTATCACACGTAATTTATTTTCGTGGCGCCGTCCACTGTAATCCGGCACGGAGAAGCTTTTTATTAATTATCTACATTGACTGAATTTTTTTTAACATTAGCCTTTTAATGTTACACAGTAATGTATTTATAAATTAAAATTTTACGTTCATCAGCAGACCAATGCATAGTCAAATCAACACGTGGACTGGGCATTTGCAAATCTTAAGTTCCATTCGTTGTGATGTTTAAATTCACTGTGTTCCATTTATTGACTACATGTATAAATCACACCTTAATGTCAGTATTACGGGAGAACCAATGACAGCATGGTACATAGACAAACATAGGCTGTAAATATATCAGTGATCATTATTGAGAACTCGTGGAAGTATTGGGTATGTTATATCATTTGAATGTTGAAAAGCAAATCTAGTTCAGCTGAATTTAGTTCACTTGTTACTTCTCACTAAATTTAATTATAAATAGAAGTTCGTTTAATTCATTATTATTAGAATTCCACACATATAAAATAACAAAAATTTTACGACTATTTACACTTGGACTTATTTCGATTAATGTTTATATTACGATAGCAATTGACAGAATCTTACAATAGAAGCAGTGCGCATGACTGGCATATCAGCATCTTCTATGGGCGCCCCTGCTCCACCAAGCTGTCCTGCTGCTGCAAGCTCCATGCGCCGCTGGTGCTTCTTGCCTGATCATCAAATAACTTGTTATAAATTGAATTTTTCTTTTGCATTAAATCAGGATGCAGAAATATTCAAAATACCTGGACACAGAGATACAGATACAAGAGACTCTGACACGGACCAAATATTTTGCATGGCATTAATCTGCATTGGAAATAGAAACAGAAAAGTCAATAATAATAGATCAGAATATACATGCCAAAGTTTTAGACTAACCTGCAGCATGTTTGAGCACCTCACTCTTGCCGGCTGTCAGCTCCTTGTTACACACAGAACAGTGCGCGCGCTCCACGGTGCTGCCCATGCGTAACCAACCGCGACACTCGGGCAACCTTTGCCATGCCTTGCGGTACCTTGTTGATAATGTGGTTCAAGTTGCAAGTGTGACATTTATTGCGGAAATTTGTTTCTTACGGCAAAAAAATTACAACCTCTACATCATCCTGATTTTAAAAATATGGCAAGTTTTTACAATCTAACAACCAAATAGTAATAAAAAGAATAACACTTAATATTGCAAAGTGTGAAAGTTTCAGAGCATTTTTATTCTAATTCTCTGTTAAACAAACATAGGCATTGAGGAATATCACATCTATCTTTACCTTTGTGTGTAAACTTTAACTTTCTTTTCCACAGTGGCTCCATCTTCAGTTTTAATTTGCTTAAGGATGAAATCATCTGGACCTCTCTTTTTGGTTTTGCGGCTCCTCACAGGAGTTGCTTTTGGGTACTCGTGCTCAGGGATGTCTGTTGGAAAATAGAAGCAAGTGAAGAGACTTTCTGACAAACAGGGCAACCATAAGAAAATTCCAACGGCAACAATTGACAATATTCATTAATAGTAACAAGAACTTTGGACAATTGGATGGTCATTATTTCCAGCAAATGAAACAGCTGAATTCATATTTTATTTTAACTACCTACTGCAGAATGAAAAAAAAAAAAGATTTTAGAATTCCTCACACCTTGGAGCAGCCAAATGTTTGGGTTAGATATGATGATGAAAAATTAAGCAATGGGATTATCTAATTGATCACATCAAAAGCTAATAGGGTAAAAATAAATATATTTATATAAATGTGCACTATTACATTCACTTCACCTCCTACATCAGGTAGAGCGTCTTCAACAACAAGATGTCCTTGAGAGGCAATAAGGTCTTCTTCCATGTGCAGAACCTTCCTCACCCCTTCTTCTTCCTCCTCACCCACCGTCTCCAAGCAAATATTTGCTGCTCCCACAACATTAGAGTCACTGCAAAATAAATTAAAGAATCAAGATAATGATTTACTAGGCTATTATTTTACATTTACTTAATCAATTTAAAAATCATATATTATAATAGTAAATAAAAATAGAAAATACAGCAGTGTTTTTTTTACACCAATGCATGCAAGATAGGAAATTTCCTACCTTATACAAAAAACTTGCAGCTGCAAAGTGCAATACCGTCAAACAGGGTAAAAAGGGACAGTTTTGAGCGTTTTTTGTTAATAACTTCTTACCATGAAACATTTCATAACAAGTTTAGGCTCATTTTATAGCTCTTTGCGAGGGCTATCAAATGGCATCTTCAAAAAAATTCCTTATGCTATTTATGCTAGATGCAATATAAAAGGCTCCTGAATTAATCTTGAAATGGGGTAAAAAGGGACACTTGAAATAAAACTTAATTTCAAACATTTGAAGCATGCAGAGTGTACTCATCTATTACCGTCAACCGGGGCTACTCGGGACAGATTTGATAATTTTTTTGTTGATAACTGTTAATAACTTCTTACGATGAAACATTTCATAAACAAATTTAGGCTCATTTTATACCGTAAAATGGGGTAACTTAGACCGGCGGGGTAACTTAGACCACTTTTTGTTTTTTTAACAAAAACCCCCACAACTCAAAAACTATTTGACATAGAAAAAACCACCTGCAACACAACAGACACAATTGTTCACTTTCTTCTGGACTGTCAACGTCATGTGCAACCAAGACAGGAGCTACTAAGTAACTTGAGAAGCATCAATGTAGAACTTAACCTTTGTAATCTCCTGGGGGGAGGTAACTTTAGTGATAAGGTGTCACAGAAAATCTCTCAATTTTTCAATGTATTTATTTTAAAGTCAGGTAGGCTAAGTGATCTTTAGATGAGCGCCTTGCAGAGCAGTATATATGGAAACATGATAGAATTGTTAATGCACGGCTACTGCTGATATATGTTTTAATTTAGCAAGTAGATCATCTAGGTATTTTTTTCAATATTATTATAATTATGTATATATTTCTATTATTATTGTTATTATTATTATTATTTTTTTTGTTTAATGAAGGCTGTTAGATTAGCAGCCCTTACTTATCTAAATTACATTAGCAGTAACTCATTTCATTTACTAATATATGTTCCCTGTAAACTTCTACCCAATCCTGCACTGAGCTTACATCAGTCAACCTCACTAAATGGCAGCAATTAACTTCATATACAAAGAAGCTGAAAACCCCAAGCTATAAGCTCTCAGGCCCAACGGTCATCCATCTGGCAGACCTGCGGCTTTAAGTCCACTCCAAGTGGACACCCTGCAAAGAAAGAAAGAAGACTACAGTCTTTCTGACTCTTTCAGAGAAGAATGGTTAGCCTACGACTCTTACGTCACGGTGATGGATGGACAAATTGGACATAGACAGTGATTGACTGATGGCTGGTGATGCTGATTGCTGAATTTAAAAACTGGTTGCCGGTTGTGAAGAGACACACAATAATGAATAAAAATTTCATATACTGTAAATGTTGCTCAGTTTAATGCCACTTTACTCACTTCCTACCCTACCTACACTTTAAAATGCTAGGGTAAACGTGGAATATTCCGACATCGTGGGTAATTCCGTCACCTCTCTAGTTTTTCCTCTATATTGAGCTTTGTTTTAGTTCCATGCGTATGCGTTTGTTGATGGTTGAAATGGTGACTTCATACATTTGCGCGTCAAACTACTGCCAAAACACTAGGTAGGTCTTAGTGAGTCTTACCGATACCGTCTTGGCCATCTAGACTCTAGAGACTAGCGGGAAAATATTGAGATCCAAAGAGAGACAATGCATGCTATACCCAGTGAGATCATCAAAAAATGTGTCAAATTTGACAGTTGACCTTGCTCTACCAAATAGTGAATAACTGTTTGTATAGGAAAAATATTATGGTTTGAGACTTTTAAATATGTCTGTGAACATAGTGCCACCTCCTTGCACTCTGTGATCAGGTCTATGCTGGTGCCAACATCTAAATTAATAAATATACCCGAAGATAGTGGCAAAGCAGAGAGTTTTTTAGACTCTCCCTCAAGTTCATTTTTGAGTCTTATAAGTAGACCAGTAAAGTATCCTGGATACCAGGATTATCATACTTAAGAAATTGGTTTAAATCTTAAGTGAATGAGGAAATTAAAAATGAATTGATTCTTAACACGTTCCCTGCGTATTGGGCCATATGTGTACCAACAGTGATATTCCACTGCTGCGTATTGGGACACCGGTGTACCAAACGCAGTATTATACGCCGTTTTGAAAAAACGCATGTAACTCGAAATTTCGCACTTAAACTTTCTCTTTTATAATGTTAATCTTCACTCAAAAAGTGGATTATTAAGTAAAACAAATCAATGGACAAAAATTTTATTCGTAAATCTCCTTGAACAAACGATAAGTAACTGTACAAATTCTAACAAATAATTCCCTTCTGTTCCCTTCTGTTCCCATCTATTCACATCTATTCCCTAATATTCCCTTCTATTCCCTTTTATTCCCTTTATAAGGGAAGATAAGGGAAGATAAGGGTTATGTTCCCTTCTGTTCCCTTCTATTCCCTTCTATTCAGTTCTATTCCCTTCTATTCCATTCTATCCCCTTCCCTTCTATTCCCTTCCATTCTATTCCCTTCTATTTCCTTCTGTTCCCTTCTATTCCCTTCTGTTCACTTCTATTCCGTTCTATTCCATTCTATTCTATTATGGTACATATATGGCTCAATAAATACTTGGTACACCGGTGGTACAATACGCAAGAACAACATGTGGTTATTATTTGCTTGCGTAATGTACCACATGTGTCCCAACATTTTTAGTGCAGCTATGCAAAGCTATGATGCCATAGAGCTGCACACACCTTCTTTTGTCATGGCCAATGGCACCTAACTGAAGCAGCAACCACTGAAAGCCTTCCGCAATAAGGGAATACTGGGGAAATCTGGATACGTGGGGAACGTGTTAAAAAAGCCCTGGTTTGCAGTTAAGTTTTTAAGTATACTTTTATTCGCTGATTTCAAGTGGTAAATAAATTAATAGATGATTAAGTTGAGAAATGGATTTAGACACATGAAAACTAATTCCGTCACAACTTGAATTGGACACACACAGATCGTTCCAAGCTGTGTATGTACAAAAATTAAAATTTGCTTAATTAAAAGCTTAATACCTAGTTGTTAATTAAAAGCGTAATTAAGTAGTGTTCAATATTCATTAGTGTTCTAATTCAAACTTCAAAGCCATGTTGTATTCCAATACAGCCCATGGTCAGGAAGATGTGCCAGGTGCGCGGGAATTTTTTTTTGTCATTTTAACGACTTGCGCGGTGCTCCGTACAATGCTGGTAAAAAAAATGCGCCGTACAATGCTGGTAAAAAAATGCGCCGTGCGCCGTACTTTAGAAAGCTAAAATAGTTCTACTATTTTAGTCAACAATATATGTGAGTATATTGACTACGCGAGTCAAACTGACAATAATAAAATGTAAGACATGTCCGGGTTAATTCTGACTCTTCCGCTTGCCGGATACGGAACGTACGGTAATCGTAAACCATAGTGGCAAAGCAGAGAGTTTTTTAGACTCTCCCTCAAGTTAATTTTTGAGTCCTATAAGTAGACCAGTAAAGTATCATGGATACCAGCATTATCTTACATAAGAAATTGGTTTAAGTCTTGAGTAAATAAGGAAATTAAAAATGAATTGATTCTAAAAAATCTCTGGTTTGTCACTATGTCGTAAACTGTGGCTATTAAACATACGAAATGTAAACAGATGGTGTTCAGTGTTGCCATATGACTTTGGAGAAAATTTCTTCTAAAATAAAGTTCTAGATTTCTCATTCACCAAATTTCCGTATCAAGAAAAATCATATATTATTGAAAGATAATTAAAGGCATACTGTACTGATTAATGTGAGTATTACGTCTGTTCCTCCACAAACTGCTCGTATGCGGCAGCGCGACGTAGAATTGATGGCCGGGATTGCGCGAACACATGCGCCAAGAGAATCAATTTTCATTACATTGTGCCAACTGTGCACAGCAATAGCTTAAAAAAGTGAAAATGCGCAGGAAAATTCACCGAAAACATACATCATCCTGAGTATGGAATACAGCTCACACAGCGAACGGAATTCGAACACGTGGATGAAGGCATTACGTATCAGTAGAATTTGAAGTGCGGATGGAATACGCCTCACCACGTGCCGGATATAGCCACACACAGTGACGGAATATAGGGATTTGGTAGGTTTGCATTCTAAAGGCTTTTAAATAAATATGGCAACATTTTGTGACGTTTCGTTGTTGCTGACGCATAGTGCGGTGTTTTGAGAGTCACATAAAGCAAACAGAACTTGAGTAACGCATACAGTTATTTTTTTATAGTTTTTCATTTCTCATTGCGTCCTTAATGTGACGGAATATACCTCGTTTACCCTACAAAGTGAAAGTCCATGACTCCATGTTACCTACTTAGCCTACTCATAAAAATACCAAGAAAAACAAGTTCCACAACAGGTGTTATGACATTGACAGCCGACAGGGGCTACAGGGACAGGGCTAAAGCAAATGCAAGTAGGCTACGTATTGAGACAAATTTTTTTCTAAAATTACCAAGCCTGAAACTAGGGTTGGCAAAGATCAAAGCAAACTTATTAAATCATGTGATTAAATCATTTGAGTTAAAGAAAAAAAAATCAGGATTTTTTTATTTGTGTGATTTTTATATTTTTATGCGTTTAAGGGGACCGGCTACCCCTTAATTTTCAATTTTGGCGTTTTCCGGTTTTTGTGCTCATCTTAAAGCTTAGCCTACTTTCTGACGCATCAAACGGTACCAGAATCATCTGATTCATCTCTCTACGTCGAAAAATGATTTTGTGACAGCTCCCTGAAGGGAGGCGGTTTTGAGGGCCCTTCAGTAAAGTCTATGGGATTAATTCGAAGGCTGGACACACTAAAAAGGAACTTCTGATGAATAGTGGCAAAACAGAGAGTTTTTTAGACTCTCCTTCAAGTTCAATTTCAAGTCCTATAAGTAGACCAGAAAAGTATCATGGATAACAGCATCATCATACATAAGATATTGGCTTTAATGGCTTAAATCTTGGGTAAATGAGAAAATTAAAAATGAACTGATTCTAAAAAATCACTGGTTTGCCACTATGGTCTGACTGAAAGCAGCCAATTATGGCATTATCCGGTGCTTATACTCATCTTAAAGCTTACTTTCTGACGCATTGAATGGTACCAGAACCATCTTTCTACCTGCATTTTGTGATTTTTACGTACACGACGCGCCGTGGAACGGGGGGCGGTATTGGGCGGCCTTCACTAATTCCTATGGGCGTAATTCGAATTTCGAGAGCAGAACTACAAATACCGCCTGCTGCTGCCAAAGCAGTCAGTGCCCATCATGACAGCGAGGTGAGAGGTGTGCAGCCAGTTGCTCTATGCTTCCCTGACTTGGTTTGAGGCTTAGTTACGGTATCTAGGCTACGTTACGACTTTTACGTCATTTTACGTGCCACACAGCAGTTTTTTGGGCATGGTGAAAACCTCCTATTGCTCTCACGGCAAACCTATCTCCTCCTACAGTTTTCAAGCTACAGCAATGAGACATATGCTATTTGATTCGTAAAGACTATACCTATTGACTCAAACATCTTTTTTTTAAATTTGTGTATGGTTCGTCTTATATATGGGGGTGAAGGGGGGAGGGGGAAAATGAGAAAAATGCGTATAAAAAAAACTATGGTGTTAGGGGCCACATGCTGGTATATAAACTATTTAGTAATTGTTACCAGTGTCTTGTATTAATCCTCTCTTTCTATTGTCCCAGTGTGTGATTACTTGAGCGACAGCCAGATAAATTCAGATTAGTGTAAAATCACATTCATTGACAGTCTGACTAGTTGAGTGAAGCAGTGCAATACTGATCTGCTGCTATTTCGTGCTGATTAACCTGCTATAAACAAACCTGCTTCCTGGTCATTTACTGCCATGCTGACTCATCACTGACCTGATATGAATATCATGGCTCTTAAATAGGTGAGTAAAGGGAATACTCTCGCCACACATCTCAGTCCTAAATTTTAATTATTGAATGTTATCAGTAAATGTTTGTAAATATCAATCATCCCTTTAAATTGTTCTAGAATTTAGTAGTAGGTAGCTAATGTGTATTTATGCGTTTCAAGTGTATGTATGTGTTTCAAGTGTTTTGTTGGATAGGTTTTATGTGTTGTTGTTCCTGCACTTTTGCAGAGCGGCCAACGTGGAGCATATTCTTGGCTAGTTTGGAGCGCGTTCTAGTCCAGTCTGGGACAAATCTTTGGGCGAGTGTTGCCGCTTCTGGACGAGCATCAGAACTGCATGTCAGCAGAGTCTTGGGCCACTCGGGTGCCATATACAATCCAAGTTTGGAGTCAGTGTTGGGGACTCGTTTATGCCCAGCCACGTTCAGTCTGCTTACTCCTGCTGTAACCACTGCGGCAAGCCCATTCTGTTCCCTCCACTACTTACCACCGGTAAGATCACTGCGTTCTTGTTTTCCTATGGACTCTGCTCACTGATATTCCCAGACCCTGGCCTGAGGATTGATAAAGCCAAGCTTAAACTCAAGACCAATTTTCAAGACTGCAATCTTCTCTTGTGTATTTTTGATTAGATTTAGTTCACTCATTATCCTGGCCCAGTTTTGATCATTTGCTAGTTATCCTTGTTTATTCTTTCCTGTTCAACCAGTTTGGGCTGCTGGTTATTTATGTTCTCATGCTAGGTTCACCCCATCACTCATAGCCCTGGGCTGTCCCATCTTCACTAACCTACTAACCATCATATTTCACCGTCATGTACCACTGATTCTATTTAATATATTTTTGCCTGGTTCTTCCTCCGTTTGTTTCCCTGAGTTTATTTTGCTTGGCTTCACGTGCTGGTACTATACCGGCCGGACCGTTGACCTTTAGAGGGGCTGACCCCCAACATTTTGGTGCCCAGACCCATTTTCTTTTCTTGTAATCTTTGTATTTTTCTGGTAATTATATTTTTTTGCGTGTGTTGTGTCAGGATGGCAGAGGAATCTCGTTCTGTGTTGGGTCATGCTGTGGTGCGTCCAGATGATGATGGTGTTGAAGGTATTGCTGATCCTGGTGTGGGTGAACTTATGGTCATGAAGAGTCCTGGTCAACTCTTGTGCAAGGAAGCTCTTTTGGCGTTTTGTGGACTGTATAGTTTGCAAGTTTGGGTCCATTGTGGAATGGAGAAGCCAATAATACATGCGCTTCCATGGCGCTCCTCTGGCAGATGTTGGTGGTAGAGTGCACTTGCAGTGGTTGGCTGGGGTGCATTATAATCCTGTTGAGGAAACCAGGCAGTATTTGGGTATCACCTCTGCTCCATTACCGGCTTTGTCATCTCCCGCAGATTGTTTATTGGACCATGTTGATGAGTTGGAAGAGAGTCCTGAAGTGGTTGTGGGTGCTCAGTGGGTTGATTCGTCTTGTAATTGTGGTACCCGGTAATTCGTGGTGTTCAACAGTTGTGGTGTAATTCGGTTCTGTCCATCTTTGTGCATTGGTTGATACAGGAGCTCAGGTTTCTGTGATTCGGGAAGATGTTTTACGCTCATTACCAGATGAAATGAAACTTGATTCAGACTCTGACACGTCAGGTCTGACTTTGAGTGGAGTTGGAGAAGATATCACAGGTGTAAAGGGTGTTGTCTTGCTAAGATTCAAGATACTTGATCATGAGTTTACTGAGCCTTTTCCGTTTGCGGTGATAGCTTGTGATAGGCTGCCGTTTTGTGTTGTGTTGGGAGCAAACTTTATTCGGTCATATGGTGTGAAGCTGGACTTTGCAAACCGAACTATGTCATTTAAGCTAGAAGATGAAGCCTTTTTCTGTCCTTTCCGGCCTCAAGAAGCATACTCTGCTCCGGTTCAGCTGTGTTTTGCACATGAGATACATGACTCTTCTGTTGCTGACCCTAAGTTACAACCCTTGATCGTTGCTGAAACTGACATAGCAGCATTGCAGGCAGGTGATTTGACCTTGCAGACTCTTGCTGAGAAGGTTGTTATGAAGGAGGATCCAAGGCATTGGCAAGAGCCAATGTTGCAGAGGTTCAGCCGGTTTTTCTCCCGCTTAGTGTTCTTGAACGATCTGTTGTGGTGCACAGTTGGTGAAAGATCAGTTCCAGTTATCACGGTTCACTTTTTGGTTGAAATTGCTTACACTGTTCATGAACACATGGCACATATTGGTCGACATAAACTTGTGCAGATCTTGGCTGCTCAAGTAGGTATGGCATCCAGATGTTGAGAGAGTTGCACGTGATGTGTGCTCATCCTGTCTCAGATGTCAGATGTTCAAGATTTCGCACCAAACAGTTGCACCTCCAATGCTCAAGTTGAGCACTTCTTGTCCCTTTGATTTGGTTTCTGTCGATTTGATCGAGTTTCCACGGTCGTCTAGAGGTTTTGTGTCTGTGTTGATGGTTGTTGATCAGAATTCGAAATGGTTGGTTGCGGTTCCATTGAAGGATAAGAAGGGTCTCACTGTTGCACATGCGTTGGAGTTTAATGTCTTACCTGTTCTTCCACGTTGTCCTGTCAGACTCCTCTCAGACAACGGTCCCGAGTTTCGTTGTGCTAGTTTCAATGATGTTCTTGTGAAGTTTTCTGTGAAACACACGTACTCAACGCCATATTGCCCTGCTTCAAATGGCGGAATTGAACGTGCAAATCGGACCATAGCTGAAATGCTGAGAGGGCTGGTTCCAGATGGTAAGCAGTGGGATTTACATCTCCCTCATGCTGTAATGGTGTATAATAACACACTGCATTGTGAACTAGGTTGTCACCAGCTGAGTATTTGTTATCTAAAGCACATGACGTGAAATCCAGACCTCTTGTTACCAATGATACCAGGGATATCTGGAAACCAGGTCACCCTCGTTTTGAACCTTTTGTTGTTGATCAACGAGTGATGCTAAAAGTACAGCAACCAGGCAATCTCACAGTGAACAAGTTGAAACCCAGGTTTTCGGGCCCTTATCGTCTGGCGAAAGTTCATGACAATGGTGTGACATACGTGGTTGAGAAGCAGGCAGAAGATGGTTCTGTCTTGCAGAAGTCGGTCCACTACCGACAAGTCAAGGCTTTCCATGAGCCACCTGCATACCTTCGTGAACATCCATGTTTCCAGAGTATTCCATCTTGTCCTGTTGTTCCCACTGATTATGACTCTGATTCTGATATTATGATTGCTGGTCCCATCTTTGCTGGTGTATTATGTTTCTTTTTACTCAAATTAGAAGATGGATTGGTCAGTAGCAGACAAGATGCTGCAGAGGCAAGACAGAGAGATCATGGCAGAAGCAGCCGTACAGCTCCTCAACAAGGGGCAAGATCTAAAACTCGTCAGGGATCCATCAACACTGCAGCAAGAGGACCAAATCATGGGTTGCTAACTAGGAAATATTATTTGGGTGTGATTGTCTTGATTGGAATATTTTTCTTCCTATTTTATGAATCTGAATCATGGACAAGTAATCTCATTCAAGTGTCATGCTATTTGCATTAAAATAGCCAAATTGACTCAGAAGCTATGTTTTATATCTCAGACCCCATATTTTTCAGCAGTAATCTTCCTCTTGTCACTGATCTACATATCTCATCTATCTCATGAAATGAGTGTATAGTTTTTTTTAGCTCACTTTTGTTCTTCAATATTGGTTCTGGTTGATTTGCAATTCATTCAGAAATACTGTAATTTTTGTGTGTTATAGGTACCTAATCTTTTTTAAAGGTTTCACTGTATGTGATACATTTTGATTACAGACTTAATTGGTTAGTACCAGAGCAACCAATTTCGAGTCCCAGGTGATATTAGCCATCCTAAAGCCTTTGATGAAATAGGTATTCTTGTGGCCATCTATTTTATATCATTGTCTGTGCATCAAATATTGATTGTTGTGTAGCTACACCAATCAATCTATTTTGTGCTAATACCTGCTTGTTGTAAACTAATGCTGTGCATTGCTTAGTATTTTCAACTATAATGCACCAATTACAGTCGTGGGCGTTTTGGATATCATGGACACAGCCAATGGAACCACAGAAATGTGCAAAACTACAATGACTATGGTGCGCCTAGCAGTCATCAAAACAAAAGGTAAGGTGTTTCTAGAGAAAGCGGGTTGATCTGTCTAATGGCTTTATGTCCTAATGCTGTCAGATTGGTCCGTGTAGAAGCTAAACTTGGAGAAGAGGCAACTGGAACCAACATGAATTTAGAGAGAGGTGCCAAAAATTTCGAAAAGTTGTCTCCTTTATTGTGTTCATAATAGAACAAGCATCAAGTATATGTTGGTGTTATTGTTCATAGCTCCACTGTTTTTTAATCCATGTTCACTTGAAATACTATATTATCTGGTACATATCTATTATATACTGTATATACGGTACCTACTTGACTCCGTTAAATTTACAGTAATTTAAATTATATTTTTAGAATCAATTTGTGTTTTAAATTGGTGAGTTCATTTATTATTTCTTCATGTAAAATAAATAGTTTATTTATATGTAATTTCAGCTTGTGTGACATTTTGATAACTATAAATTTTATTTGCAGTGTGTGCATTCTGACAAGGTTTATATATATACATGAATAATTAGTATCTAGATCGTTTTCAATTTTGACGCAAGTTACTGGATTACCATTCAAATCCTGAGCCTCATTGCCAATTAATAATAACCTTAATTAATAAAAACTTTGATATTTTTTCCTAATCAGATGTCTGTCATTAAAGCACTTTTTGTATGTTTCACAATCACTCAAATCTGACTTGCTAAAATGAATTTAAACTTCCTAATTCACAACCATGTTTCATTGACTGCGCTTTTCAGAGGGCACCCTCGCAAACGTGAGAGACAAAACAACGTCAAACGTGGTAAAGGAAAACAATATAATACAGCCCATAACTCAAAGAGAAATTTCCCTGTTGGAACAACTGTTGCAACACTTGCAGACCTCGACGACTTGGAACCTGATGACGACTATCGCGACATCCCTATTGAACCTACTGACAATGAACTACTGCAGGTTAAGGCTCCTTTCATAAGGAGAAACATTACAAAGGGGGCCTACAGAGGAGTGCACCATTACCTCGATGTGCATTTTAGGCTTCTGCGTGAAGACTTTATTCGCCCTCTGCGTAATGGCATTGGCCAAGTAAAATGTGGTTCAAAAGACGTAAAAGATGTCCGTGTGTATCTGAAAGTAAAATTTCAGGACGCCGAAGTTGTGAATGGTCATCTTGTGCATTTAGTGAAGCTAAATTTGCCAAAGAATTTTAAAGATGAATCCTCAAAGCAACTGCTGTTTGGCAACATCATGTGCTTCAGTGCGGATAATTTTACCTCTTATTTTCGGGCAACTGTTGCAAGCCATGACCCTGACAAACTGAAGAAGGGACTAGTTGGCATAAAGCTGCTTTCAGTGTCTAAACTGGACGCCAGTCTTGAGTACACAGCTGTTGAGTCAAGGACTTTCTTCACCCCGTACAATCACGTCCTGAGAGCTCTTCAATCCAAGGACAAAAATACCTTCCCGCTTGTCGAGCACATTGTCTTCGCTAAGAAAGCTGTTCAACCTCCTCAGTATGTGCTAAACAGAGCCAATGTGCATTACGATCTGCGTGTGGTTTTGCAAACCAATTACATGAAAGCTCGTGCCGAAGCTTGCAACATTTTTCCAATGTGTGATACCACAGAACCACCTAATAATTGCCGAGATCTTCAGTCCATTCCCATAAGGAACGCTGAGATAGAAAAGTGGCCGACATGCTCCGTCTTGGGTCTCGACCCACCCCAACGTCAAGCACTGCACTCGGCGCTCACAAAGCGGCTGGTTGTGATTCAAGGCCCACCAGGAACTGGCAAAACTTATTTAGGTCTGAAAATCGCTCAAGTTCTGCTCCACAATTCGCAGGCATGGTCTAGGAAGGAAAACGAAATTCGACCTCTTCCTTGGCATCAAGAAGACAGGTTGGTAGAAACAGTTGATGTAGACGTGACATCGCCCATTCTCGTCATTTGCCAGAAAAACCATGCGTTGGATCAGTTTTTGGAAGGCATGCTCAAATTCACTCGAAGAGTAGTCCGAATCGGAAGCAGAAGCAATAGTGAAATAATCAAGAGATACCAAATCAACCAGTTTGTTAGTTCCTTGAAAAAACAACGGCAACTTCCTTCAACCCTCCGCAAGGCTAGCTATGAAATACGGAAAAGATTAAATGACGCCGAAACTGAGTTTAGTAGTCAATATGCTCAGCTGAAAAAGATAGAAGCTCAGCTGCAACTAGAAGCTCAGCTGCCAATGCGCGAGACCATGCCTACTTTTGAGTTCATCCGTACTCACGAGTTCATCCGCACTCACGAGGAGAACATACAGAGGCTCAGGGAAAGGACGTATGAGGTGAAGAACTCCGAGTATCTGTACGTGGCGCGTCAGGCGGACGTTGTGGGCCTCACCACCACGGGAGCTGCGCAGTTCCAGGACTTCATCCAGGAACTCAAGCCCAGGATAGGCGAGTCTCAAACTATGAATATTTTAATAATTTTGTCTTCGCCTAATATTATGGTTTATCTTCAAGCTCTGACCGAAATTATAATAACTTTAATGTAACTGATTTAAATCGTGTTACGTTCAGCCAAGATAAATGTTCTACTTGAGAAACAGCTGTCCCTTGTTACCGAAATTTTTATGTTTTCTCAAGTAACGCCATAGATGCAATGTTCTGATATGAGGTGCTATATTTTTGCTTTATCTATACCTCCCGTAGCAAAGACTTTGGCACTTGCGATCGCATAATCATGATATTCTGCATTATGATAAAGTCTTGCTTTGAGTACCATTCAATGTAAGGAGTTACATAGGCAGCGTCTGCGTTACTATTGTCGTCGCAGTGTCAAGGGAATATTTCTATTGAGATATATTGATGGACACTCTAAAGTAAGGGGATGAAATTAGGTTAGAGTGCCTTGCATGAGACTCATTACTTCTTCAAATGAAGCATCTTGGTCTAATGTCCGGTATTACTTTGAGTTAAGTCATATGTTTTTTAGGGGGTCAGGCCTGTCATATGTTTTTTGGGGGGTCAGGCCTGATGGTCCATGAGCAGGGTCAAATTCACTTTAGTTAAGCGTCGAACGAGAAAATCTCGTGGGGATAAAAAGATTGACTACGTTGCACCTTAATTAAAAAAAATGACTCAATTCGAGTGGCTAAAAATCTTGATATTAGTCGGATTGGACATTGATCAATATCAACATTAATAAAAGAACGTCGTCTAGGAACTGTGGGTACTAAATGTAGGGTACTATTTTGTTAACTGTAGACAACATGGAAATAGATCTGCAGATTAAAAGCTCGCTTTGCTATAGAATGAGTGTTCTATCTTCTATGTGTTGAGCAGGAATTCAATTTCGACGTTTTGCTGTACCGTATACTGGATTACATCCTTATTAGTTCTATATTCTGTACCAATTTAATATCACTTCGTCCCAGAGATTTGATATGCTTATTCTGTTTCGACCACGCTAGTGAATAGTGATAATAACTGCGATGTATATTTTGTGTTCATTTCAGTGATCATTGAAGAGGCTGCCGAGATATTAGAGGCCCATGTCGTGGCATCTCTCAACGCCAACTGCGAGCATCTCATAATGATCGGTGAGATTATGAAGAATTATTTTGGCTGAATTGTTTATTTAAATTCAAGTTTGATTATTTCGGCCATTTGTCCACAGAGCTTGGAAGCGGTAGCTGCTTAAACAAGTGTATAAGTTGGGAGTCCAATAGTTCGGCATGTTGAATAGTACCAGCATTTGTGTCCTCTCTCTTTCTCTGATAAACAGAATTGTACTTGCAGGAAGGATATTTTGATGCTTAAAAGAACCGCTAGGCATTTCTCATTATTCCTCGCTCACGAAATACACTGATGCATCCCACATTTCTCTATTTTTTCAATTCTCAAATTTTGATTACGGTACTTGAAAAATTTTAGGCTGCAATGAAGAACTGTTGTTGTTGTTTGTTGCGACCATCACGCTCGCCGGGGGGGAGGCTCTGGTGGTGGGCGGGGGGCTGGCACCGGAAGAGGGGGGAGATGGGCGAAGGCAGGGAGGGTGGCCAGGAAAGCCGCTGCCTCCGCGGGGTTGTCCCACAGTGAGGAGACGCTGAGAGACGTGGGGAAGGTGGGGCAGACGAAGAGATGCTGGACCGACTGGAGGGGATCCCCGCACTCCGGGCAAGCGGAGCTAGGGGAGCGTCCGATCCTGGCGGAATAGGACGCCAGGGAGCTGCAGTATCCCGAGCGGAGCTGGGATAGCGCTGAGCGGTAGGGGCGAGGGAGTGAGGTCTCCACTGATGCAATCGGCGGTGGCGGGGCTGCGAGTACGGCGTTTATGGCGTCAGTCGCCGTAACGCGGGAGGCGATCTCCCTGCGGAGGGCCCGCTTGGTCTCTCCGTAGGCACCCATGGGCATCATGCCATTATCCAAGAAAGGTGTGACCAGATGACCGAACCTCGACTGGATGGAGGCTTTCATGGGGCGGTCACCCGGGGGGCAGAAACGCTACGGAATGAGGTATGAGAGGGCTGGAGGGCGCTGGCGAGGAACTGGGCACAAGCCAGGTCCAGATGCGCGGCTAATGGGAGGACGCCAGTCTCCTGGTGAAGGTGGGAGATCGGGGCCATTTTGAGGCAGCCGGTGGCTAGTCTCAATNTAATGCGTCAAAGACGACTTTAAATTGTTGGGCCAAACCAAAGAGGTAACGTTGCATGCATTAAATGCCAAAAGGGCCCATGTCATGCATTAATTCAAGTTAATTAGTAAGAGATAGGATGATATTGCACTCGAAAGTTGATAAAGAAATCAACAGTCCAGAACACTTAGGTATCACCAATCGCTCACGCCTCCAAAATCCTCTTGTTTTTAATGGTTCCTAGCTATCTAGAAATCAACTTAAAACTAAACTTATTCTACAAGGTCTCGCTCAATTCAATACATAATTTCTTATAGAACTGTGCAGGTGACCATCAGCAGCTGAAGCCAAGCCCTGCAGTTCACCAGCTCGCCACGGACTACGGGCTCGACACGTCGCTCTTCGAGCGGATGATCAACAACGGAGTCGCGTGCGTGCTAGCTTTATTATGAATATTTCTGTTTCTTTCAAGAAATCCTGGCAATTTTCTGGGATGAAATGCAATTTATATGATACTGTAAGGCAATTTTCTTCTATGACAGTATTACAAACTGAACTGTTGGTTCATTTGGCTGTATCAATCAATTCAATCTATAGATTGATTGTGAGTAACTGTGACCTAATTAGAATTTGTTACATAAGGTACGATACCCTGCAGTATCAGCACCGCATGCGTCCTGAGATTTCATCTCTCCTGGTCCCTGCCATCTACCCGGAACTCGAGGATCATCCATCAGTGCAAGGCCGAGATCACATCCGGGGTGTCGAGAGGAGCGTCTTCTTCGTGTCTCACCTCGAGAAGGAGCAAGAAGTTCGTAGCACAATCTTAGTGTAGAGTTTAAGACCTCAATTGGATTCCAAAATTCAATCCTAATTAATTCGTTGGGATTATTTATAAATAGATTAGTATTAGAAGGCAGAATTAGCTTGTTTTAACTATGGCGGTTAATGACCACAGAATTGATGGATTGAAATTTTTAGGGTCGAATAATTATTCAAATGACGTTGGCTGATCAAAATGTAGGTATTAAGAAGTAATTTTAATTTATTAACGACATTTAGAACGCAACAACATTAATTTTCGAGTTATATAGAAAGCATTGAATTCAGAAATTTTGCTGGAAATAAGAACATGATATATGTAAATGATACAACACGAAAATTTGGAGCCGTGAAAATAATTGTGAAACGATCTCAAAGCTTAGAAAATCCGGTAGTTATGAGTTGGATAGCTGGAGTCCATTCCGTAGAGACGAGGGCTTCAGCTATCGTCGGTCGGATGATGTCGGGCCACTCCTGGAAGACGATGCTGTTGGGTTCCTCCAGCCCAGTGTGAGTGACGGTCTCGTTTAGTTTGGCGTTGTTAGGAGTGTCACGGAGCCTGTTGAATTCATCGCGAATATTGAGATGAAGTTGCTCGATTGTAATACTTTGAGACCTGGTCTGGTTACGAGCTTGTCTCACGTGGCAGGATAAACGGCTGCTCATGGTTGCAGCAGTTACTCCAATTACTCTTATGTAGTCCAAATAATGAAGAAGTCCTCAACCTTCTTTGAAGCAAAATTCAAAGATTACACCAGATTGCTGGAGAACTCTTGCTCGTTTGCTGGGGCCTTTGCTGCGTAAAGTTCCATGGTTTGACATTAATGTCAAAGGCGTCACGGAGCCTGTTGAGTTCATCGATGATCTTGAGACTTCCGCCACCAGCAAGAAATTTCGGCTTATTGATAAAGCAATAAGAAAATTGTTAATAAAAAGCTTACCCTTGTCTTAAATACTTATATATACCTATATATATATTTTTAATAATGTTCTTATTTATTTTTTCAATGAGTCGAACAAAATTTCTTGCTGTCGCCGGGAGATCAAAATGCAGGTTACCAAATGACATTTCAATGGATTGCGACGTTTCGAAAATGCAATAATGAAAATTTGTATAGACCACATGCGTCCTGAAATGTTTGATCGCGTGCGGTGGTCTCGTTGTTGATTAATTACGTATCATAGGGTAGATTTCGTGGTCTCACTGGTGGTAGATTGACCCTAGAAAACTGGAGATTGCAGCAGATAAACAATCGTGTCCTAAAAAAATGATAACAGTTCAATATCCGTCCACAGGAAGGTGATGATAATAACAGTCACAGCAACGTTCACGAAGCTGCGTTCATAATGGGCCTGGCTCGTTACCTCGTCCGGCAAGGCTACGACCCTGAGCAGATCACTGTCCTCACGCCCTACTCCGGCCAGTTCTTCCTGCTGCGTAAAGTAAGTGAGGCTACGACCCTGATGTCCTCACGCCCTACTCCGGCCAGTTCTTCCTGCTGGATAAAGAATGAAGGGCCTTATTCCTACCCTAAACTTACATTCAATATGAAATTAGCCAAACTCCCCTGTATGAGATTTAATAGAATAACTCTCTTTAAATTCCATCTTCGATAATTTGTACTTTTAATTTTTTTACTTATGAATTTTGAATAACATACTCAGATCTTGGGAAAGTGACATATTTCTCTTCTATGCTTTTGGTGTAACAATACGTTTTCACCAGTTAACAGGAGTGAAATTAATACCTGTATAATGGGCATCTGTTATAATCGGTTTGCCTCATAATTAAGAGAGTCCATATAATTGCCTCATAATAAGAGAGGCAATTATATGGACTCGGGAAAACGATTCGGTAGAAGCATTGCTAGATTTTTAGGAGTGTATTTCCTCTATTTCCACACAACTTCTCTGAGCCTTCCTACTAATTTTGCCTACTTTTACACAGGAGCAAAGGAACTACAGCCCTACCTGCGACAATATGTGCGTCTCCACTGTTGACAACTACCAAGGCGAGGAGAACGACATCATTCTGTTGTCCATGGTTCGCAGCAACGACTCGGGCAACATTGGCTTCTTAAAGATCGCGAACCGTGTGTGCGTCGCTCTGTCGCGTGCCAAACTCGGACTCTTCATCATTGGCAACATGCAGCAACTTTGCCGGAGCTCTGCTCTTTGGAGGAAAATTGAAGAAGCCTTGAAGAAAATCGATGGCCTTGGTGATGCGCTCGTCCTCAAATGCCAGAGCCATCCTGATCGCAAGGTTGCTGTCAAGACTGGTGAAGACTTCTGGACCATGAGTCCAGAATGCGGCTGCACTCGGCCCTGGAATGCTGACATTTGTATTTGTGCGACCTGGAATGCTGACATTCTTGCGACCCGGAATGCTGACATTCGTACGACCGGGAATGCTGACATTCGTACGACCGGGAATGCTGACATTCTTGCGCCTCGGAATGCTGACATTCTTGCGCCTCGGAATGCTGACATTCTTGCGCCTCGGAATGCTGACATTCTTGCGACCCGGAATGCTGACATTCTTGCGACCCCAAATGCTGACATTCGTGCGACCTGGGATGATGACATTTGTATTTGTGCGACCTGGAATGATGACAATTTGCGTTGTGCGCCTCGGAATGCTGACATTCTTGCTCTGACATTCATGCGACCCGGAGTGCTGACATTCTTGCGACCCGGAAAGCTGACATTCATGCGACCCGGAATGCTGACTTTCGTGCGACCCGGAATGCTGACATTCGTGCGACCCGGAATGCTGACATTCGTGCAACCGGCCATGTGAAGCGCGTGCAGCAGTGTCAGTCGCCGTGTTCCCGCAAACAGAAATTCAAGTGCACTCTGTTCTAGACTCCTGCGTTTCCGAATAATTTTCTCGAAATGAACTATGACGACCGGGACGAGACGAGAAATTAACGGTAAAAAAATAACGGGAGAAAGTGTAAAATTTGTCCCGGAATAAACGTATGAACTGGGACCAGACGTGTCCTGGTAATTCTGAAAAATACGAGACGTAAAATATTATATGACTCGAGACGAGACATTTCTTAAATATTCTAGACAAAATAAGATATTTCTTCCTATACGAGCACAAAATTGAACTTTCCGAACGCGCGGTTAAGGAAAACAAAGTTAACTCACCCAAGCAAAGCAATGCCATCACCACCTGTAACCTACCTCATATGAGAGAAATTAGTTCCAACCAAAGGGGACCGTACAACCGTACGCTCTCTGAACTTGCTTGTTTGACCTCTCGGTCATTTTATTCTACTCCATATATTGTTAAAAAACAAGTATAGTTTTCCCTGACTGATATCGCGTAAAAATTTGCTAGCTGGAAGTAGGGTAGCTACTAGACGCTACTTGCTATTAATCCCTGAAGGCAGGCAGTAGTACCCTTGTACACTAGGCAACTAGCATGGTAATCAGGCCCAGTGGTTAAAGTTCAGAGTTCCAAGTTTGGAGCAGAGAGATGCGGGTTCGATCCCAGCTCCGTGCGCCAGTTTCTGGTCAGAATCGGCAAGGAGGCCGGGCGATCAAGCAAAGAAAATTTGAATCGGTGAGTTGCGAGTTCGAGCCCACAACAACCTGTGGATGTTCTGCGATGCAGCTAAAAATCGACGACAGGCCTTCGGCGTAATAAACGCTGAAACCATTATGTTATATTATATATATTATGATTATTACAGATCGTAGTTTAAATCGATTTAAACTATGGTTATAACAAAGCAACGCACAAATTTGCGTCGATTCCTTCCAGACTTCGGCACGTATTCCAGAATTCGATTCACAAATTTGCGTCGAAGTCTGGCGATTAATTAGATATGTATGTTATAAAATTTCATCAGATCCGTTCAGAACTGAGGGACTTGTGCGCTAGTCAGTTGATTGAATTTTTTTCTTTCAAACAGAAAACGAAGTGACTTAGAAATCTAATAATTCCTCCCGCTTCGCATTTCTAACAATTATGTTTTCAATTTCACTCTTGCCCTTCACATGTGCTAGATAGGCAATAGCGATGTCATTTTGCATATCAATATACCTGAAACGTTATGAACAGACAAACAGTTGATCAGATATTGTCTGAAACAATTTACTATTCTAACGGCGTAGTGAGGATTAACTAGTAGGACTCACAATGTCTCGTTATAAAAGATGAAATTTCCGGAAAATATTATAACTCATATTTTAACCGGGTCGTCTCGTCTCTATTGTCCCGGAATTCCCACGGAGTGCTGAAAATTTTCCCAGTGTTTATTGCAAACCGGGACAAACCCTCTTGTGTCAGCTCGAATGAAATAAAGTACCAAACGCAGGGGTTTATTCTGTACTGTTATCATTACTGCCTCGAGTGGAATATTAAAGGTGAGAAGAAACTCACGTGCGGACACAAAGCTCGGCTCGCATTTGTCAGTATTTTTTTCTGTGTCAATCTAAAGTTTTGTACTTTGATACATTTATACTGAGACGATTTATATTAGATTTTTATGAGTTCCAGAGTTCTTATTATTATCCATACGCTATAGCAGGAGAATGAGAGATTGACATAATATTATTACTTATATCAAGATGATTACAAGTTGAGGTCGGAGTATGTTTTATACAAGTTCGCTAAGAAGGTGGAGTTTACAACACTATCGCAATAGGTTAGTTAGTGCCGGAGTCGATAGGATAGACGTAGTGTGCACGTCTGCAGTTGTGCTGCGAGTGGACTGCAGCTAAGAGGCTAGGCCTATGATTGACTGGCGGTGAGCTTGAATAGAGTCTCACTACGGTGACGTCACAGAAGATGGAGTGCGCGATAGTACTGAAACTATGGGTAGTAACGTATGCTTTAATGTACTACCTGATGCATGTCAGGATCCTGCAGTCAGTAAGTTACTCATGCAAGGGGAAATGCTGCTGTCGCGGATCTCGCTACATAACTACTTTTATATTTAAGAAAAGCGTGTAAAGACAATTCATGCTAGCGAAACACTGCTTCAGTAGGCAACACTTATTTCTGGTCGATCTCTCGCAGCTCACTTCTATTCCAGCAGCTGCTGTTGTAGGATCGTGCAACATCATGTCCGCATTAACTAAGCACACTTTGCTGCCCCTATAACAGCACTACTCCAACACGTGCAACCCCACGTGCGTATTGCAACTCCACGTGATTCTCATCACGCCACCTGCATCTCACCACACCACGTGCTCCTGACACCTCTTCGTCATCACCACGTGCTCCTGACACTTCGTCATCACCACGTGCTCCTGACACCTCGTCATCGCCACGTGCTCCTGACACCTCGTCATCGCCACGTGCTCCTGACACCTCGTCATCACCACGTGCTCCTAATCCATTAGGTCACACTCAGGGCTGAAATGGCTATTTGCTGCTCCAATGCGAGCAAGGTACGAGTTGAGTAGCGATGAGTAGCCAGAGCGGAGCTAGGAAAGGTCGTTTTGGCCGCCCTGGGGAGGGATAGCTCGCTGGATGAGATAAAGGGGGCTGGGATCAGCAACACCTTGCTATGAGGTGCTGAAGACAGGTAGGAGGAGACAGCTAAGCTGTGCAGGGTGCTGAGGGCGATGAGTAGGAGTCGGAGGGGAGCGACCCCTTCTCTAGCATATGAGAGACTGAAGGCAAGAAGCGGGTTTGATGCGTACGTGTGATCCATGGAACGAGGCCCAGATGTCTCTGGGTGACGATAGTGTGGCAGGGATGGTGTGGTCGTAGGGCGCTGGCAAGGTACTGTGAGCAGAGCAGAGAGAGGTGTTCGGCAACGGGTAAGACCTCAGTTTCGCTGTGCAGGTGGGAAGCGGAGGAAATTTGAAAAAAAAATCGTGGCCATGCGGAGAGTAGAATTCTGTATGGTTTGCAACTTAGAGATTGCCGAAGGAGAGGCGTTAGGTTATCATAATCACACTGGGGCAGCGAATGTGATGAGAGAAATATAGGGCATTGAAAGTCACAATGAGGCTTCCCTTTTGCTGTCCCTAGTTGGTTCCGGCAAGAGATTTGAGGATGTTGAGGCGCGGGCGGGCTCTCTGACATATTGCAGCGATGTGTGGAGAGAAGGTGAAGTGGGGGTCAAAAGTGACCCCGAGGATCTTCGGGGTCCGACAGAGTGGAAGGTCAGGCCCCTCCCAGCTGAAATGAGGGTCTGTTTGTGATTGATGGGTGTCGGAGGTGAAAAGGGTGGTGTGAGATTTGGGGATGGATCCAAACATCCTCTTCCGACGAGCCCATGCCGTCACATTGGAAGAGAGCCACAGTGAGAGAGAGCTTCTCTCTTCCCACCCACTCTCTTCGCCACAGTGGAAGAGAGGACAGCAGACGCCTCGGAGATCTGCACGGCCCCTGCAGCGGCTCTGAAGTCGCCCGCATATATAGGAGGCGATCAAAGGGGTGGACTGGAAGTCTGAAACTTATGGAGCCCCACAAGGCTACGACATCTCGCCCGTCCTCTTCAATTCCTGTGTAACAGGAATTGAAGGGGACGGGGGAGATGACGGAGCCTTGTGGGATTCCACCGTGGACTGGGCGTGGGGAAGAGATGCAGCTGTTGTAGGAGCACCTATCTCACCTGCCTCCGATGTAGCAGATCAGCTAGCGAGTGATATTGGCGCGGTGGGGATTGGAGGCGATGTGAGAGATGAGCTGAGCGTGAGGCACAGTGTCAAATGCCTTGCTGAATTCTATTGCCATTGTTTTGTCCATGTTGGTTGGTGGTGATATGCTTCCTCCAACCCTGTCTGGGTTAGAGGGAGGTTAAAACCTTCATAAACCTCTCAGGTTTCCGAAGGCGCCACAAGCGACGATCAATGAAGTTCAAAGTGAGCGAGTCCGTCAATGCCAGTGATTCCCAAACTGAGGTGCTCATATCACCGATAGCCATTGCAGCTGGTACGCTTGTTCATGAACGATAGCTGCTCGGTAATTTCTTCCTTAACAAAATAGTTTAATACCCAAAGAAGATAATCTGGCAACGATTCTCAAGTTTTCATTCGCTACGTACCTGAACCCAGCGGCTCAGTGTTGCTTTTGAACTGTACACCTATTTTATACGCTAATTTTCTATTAGGTATAGTACGGCAGAAGTAGTATTTAATGTGAACTCTATCAAAGAAGCCTAAGAAACCACTCGAGGGCGGCTCTCTACCACTCGAGGGCTGCTCTCTAGTTAACCATTACTCGCGCGGCACGAGAAGATTTCACCAGCATCAGCATGTGGCGCCTCAATACTACAAGACGGGCCTGATTCTCCAGGCATCGACTTTCAAACCACCGGATTTACCACCATATTGAAATTAGCTTAAATAAGGATCATATCATGTTTTAATATTTGAGTAATCCATAGCACCCAACGTTTGTACTTGTTTCGCAATCGCAATTTTAAACACCGAAAATCCTTCATTTTACTTGATAATCAGTAATAATCGAACGTCTATGATATTTAAAACGTCTTTTGAAAGCTTTTTTTTTATCTACGAATGCCAATGAAAGCACCTTTCAACCCGTTGCAAAAGCAAACAACAAAATTATTGAAATATCTTCTTGGGTGTTCAGTTGAACTAGCATTACATATTTTTCGCGCATAATGTAGGATTGAATACGCCCAATACTAAATATTTCGTGTAAAATGAAGTATTAACGCTACGCAGCAGGTATACTTTAAATTAAGATATAGGAGCATTGTTAAGCCCGGTATGAATGCTGTTAACCTTTTAATTTGCCCGAAGGCTGTTGGAGTTATTTTCTGTTTTTTTTTTCGTTGTACTTTCTAAGCTTGTATTATTTTCGCTTATGAAAAGTTTTTGCCTAAATAAGTTTAAAAAATTAATTAGGCTTTTCCTTGAAATAATTTTAATGCTAATAGATCAATTGTTGATGGAAAAAAATGCATCATACTATTTTCATGGCGCCTGATATTTCGGTACACTTTCTGCCAACCATCATATTGAACGTGGCAGTGTTTGTGGTACTTTATTACATATACTCGTATTGACATTCCAGTTACTTTTATTACTATACCAATAATTTTCCGACATGAAACTTCGTTCTGGTGATTCATGTTAATTTCGTTCACGCGATGCTCCTCCTAATTGTTTTAATTACTTAAGCTTCAATTATTGATTCGGACTCTACGCTTTTACCGAAAATAATAGAAAATGCATTACATAATGCATTGGGAGATTAAAGGCAATTACTTGATCAAAGACAGAAAGAAATAACCTACAAACAAACATAATAATGATAACTTTCAAACCATCAGTTTTATTGTAACTGAAAGCACCTGATGAATATGTTGCATAAAAATCACCTAATGAATAAGATACATGATATGTACCTGATAAATATGTTATATAGTAATCAACTAATGAATAAGACACATGATATGTACCTGATAAATATGTTGCATAATAATCAACTAATGAATAAGATACATGATATGTACCTGATAAATGTGTTATATAGTAATCAACTAATGAATAAGGTACATGACAAGCGCCCAATAAATGTGGTGCATGATGAACGCCT